GACTCACCCTTAGGTTCTGGCGGCGGAGCTGCTCCTGCTGGTCCAGCTGCATGCGGCGGTGCAAGCGGCGGCGCGCGGCCTCCTGGTCGCAGGCGCGCTGCTCCTCCTCCTGCTGCTGCTGCTGCAGCTGCCGCCGCTGCGCCTTGCCGCGCGTCAGCTTACGCACCGAGAACACGCCGGCCGTCACCACGGCCACGCACAACGCCAGGATGATGACGAACATCCACGTGTCCATGGAGGCGAGCGAGCTCTTGCGCGGGTCGAGGCACGCGTCGTACCACGTCTGGCCCTGGGCCGCCTCCGGACTGTGGCACGTCTGTATAGGTGTGGAGAAGAGACAGATCTAGTGAGACGGAACTTTGATGCAATACTGGAGTAAGTTAACAGCACATTTGTTACGGTTTTCATTAAATCATGTTATTGTTGTAACCCAACGATTGTAACGTGCCAGAATTTTTTTCAAATTTACAGCAATTGTTATCTCATTCAACACAACAATTAACTCAGGTTTCGACAGAAATACAAAACATTTTGGCATTTTTTTAACAATGCGGTACATCTTTGCAAGTGCTTACCAAGTTAGTGACGTCCTCCTTGACGGGCTGCGACATCAGGAACTCCAGGAAGTCGCGGAAGTCCTTGGACTTGCAGTCGCACCGCCAGGGGTTGTCGTCCAGCTCGACGTTCTGGAGCACGTCGTTCTCTCGGAAGGCGTCCACCTTGAGCGGGTCCGTGAAGCGGTTGCCGCGGAGGTCGATGGTCTGCAGCGTGCGCAGCCCGTCCAGCGAGGTGACGCTCAGGTCCGTGAGGCGGCACAGCGACAGGTCCAGCGTGTGCAGGGCCGCCTCGAGGCCGGGGCTGGCCAGCCGGTCGGGCAGCGCCGGCAGCGGGTTGTTGGAGAGGTTGAGGTGGCGCAGCTCGGGCGTGCCGTCCAGGACGCCGTCGACCAGCGCCTGCACCGCGCCGTGCGACGCGTCCAGGCGCCGCAGGGCCGGCGCGTTGAGCTGCAGCGAGACGATCGGGTTGCGCGAGACGTTGAGGTTGCGCAGCGCGCCGTGCTTGGCGAACGTGTCCGGGTGGATGGCGCCGAGGCGGTTGCCGGACAAGTCCAGGTCCTGGAGGGGGTTGCAGAGCGGGTGAGTGTTAGTGAGCTACGAAGAGTGTTGCCAAGTAAGTAGGCAAAACGTTCCCACGACGAATACACCTGCGTGGAGCGGGCTGCCTTTTTCGCCTTCCTAATGGGCATATCCTCCGGCACAAATGCAGCCTAGAAGGTATATGTACAGACAGCCTGCCCCCGACAGCAATACTCGCGGTGGGAACTTTTTGCCTCCTTAGTTGGCGACACCGTGCGGCAGGGACTGTCCCAGCGCGCCGCCGCCCGCGCCCCGGCACGCAGGCAACCCATCCGACACGCTCCCCGCGACCCGACCCGCGCGCGCACCTTGAGCCGCTCGGTGCCCGTGAAGGCGTCGGCGGGCAGCTCCTCCAGCTTGTTGTCGGCCATGTCCAGGTGGAGGAGCGCGCCGTTGTAGAGCAGGCCGAGGGGCTCGAGCGTCGAGATGCGGTTGCCCCGGAGGCGGGCCTCGGTCAGGTTGGGCAGCGCGGCCAGGAACGACACGTCCTGCAGGGCGCAGCCCTCGGCCTCCAGCACCTGCAGCGACGAGGACCACGACGGCGTGCTGCGGGAGGAACACCGAGTCAGGTCTCCGGACAACTCACACGAACACAACATCAACCAGAAGACTGGGCGCTCGCCGAAGGTTGCTGTTGTTTGTTTTGTCACGATCTGCTATTATTATTTTGTTGCGCCGGACGCCCGCCCGTGCGTGTGGCCGGCGCGTCCGGCAGCCCATCCCAGTCCAGGCCCAGACCGCCGTCCCGTAGCATAGTATGTGGGTCGCTAGCCGCCGTGTGACTGTGACGCGTCACGTCACAGTCGCGTCACGCAGGGAGCCGTCGTCGCGTGACGTCCGATCCGCATTATCAGACAGTTGATGCGCTCTGACCACTGTTGTTGTTTTTTTCGCAATTAGACTGCAGTCTATAATGGCCACGGCGCCTTACGGAGGAGCTGGCCACCCGACCGCGCGCGGCTCGGTCTAACTACGGAAGTAAGCCGGGTGCATTAGCCACCGCTTGTGCGCTGGTATTGCCATTCCAACAAGCTGCTGCGCAATGTGTCGAATCATGAGGGTCGGATTCAGGGTTTCCCTGACGGCTCCCTCCCTCACCTCCTCCGAGCGACCATCACAATATAGCAGGTAATGTGCACGCCGGCCGCGACCTGCTGGACTCTTAGACTCACCCGTTGGTGAGCTGCGTGAGCTGCTCGACGGTGTCCGGGGCGCCCGGCGGCAGGAAGTACGTGAGGTCCGGGTTGCCGCTGACGACCAGGTGGGTGAGCCCGGCCATGGCCTGCTGCGCGAACACGTGCGCGCGCACGGCGCGGAGCTTGCAATCGGCCACGTCGAGCTCCCGGAGCGAGGGCACGCGCAGCGGCGGCAGCACCTGCACGTAGGGATTTTAATTCTACAGAATATTTTCAGTATTTTCTTTTACAAAACGCGTCTGAATT